AGACGTACTGTAGATGTATGAGATACATTTGGCCACTAATGCTAATTTTCAGGTCTTTGAAAGCCATTCATCTTTGAATGCATGACATCAAGTTTAAAAGCCCTCCTTTATTTGAAAGGTTAAGCCTATTAAACACTTAGTGTGTGTAGGGTTTTTTTTGTAGAAAAACAGTGTATATTTAAAACTGCTGCTACAAAGAATTAAGTTATAGCAATTTTTCATGCTGTAGTTTTAAAAATTATTTTATTTACACAGTCATTTCAAAGCTATGTGCAATAACAGCAAAGAAGCCGATATATTTAAAAGAAAACTAAAACAATACAAAACAGGGAATCATGGCAAGGACTCATTTATCCAGCTGGAAAAGCCTGCCAGCACAAAAATGTCTTCAATTGTTTCCGCAAAGTGCAGATAGCGAGCACCTGTCATATCTTGACAGGAATGCAATTCCACAGAACAGGGGCAGCCAGGTTAAATCTCTGCTCCAAGTTACTGTGGAACAGGCTTCTGTGATATTTGGCACTTGCAGGAAAAAAGTTACTGCAGATCCCAGGGATCTACTGGGCATTATGATTAATATATACTGTCATTCAGGTGGTTTCTCATGTAATCTGTTCCTGAGCTATGTACGGTCTTACATGTGAGTATGAACGCCTTGGATTTGGCCCAGTTGCAGATTAGCAGCTAAGTGTTATATGCTGCTGATAGTTTGCCCCAAGCAAGCTAGCCACTGCATTCTGCCCTTGGACCAAGCCCGAGGATAGCCCCACATAATGCACATTGCAATATCTCAACTGCAAAGTTACCATTGCATGGACAACTGAGGTTAAGCTATCCTGATCCAGAAACAGCCAAAGCTGTCTTACCTGTACGTTTCCGAGTACCAGTACGTTTCCGAGCACAATTCAAAGTGTTGGTGCTGACCTTTAAAGCCCTAAACAGCCTTGGTTCTGTATACCTGAAGGAGCATCTCCACCCCATCATCCAACCCGGATACTGAGGTCCAGTGCCAAGAGACTTCTGGCGGTTCCCTCGCTGTGAGAAGTGAGGTTACAGGGAACCAGGCAGAGGGCCTTCTCGGTAGTGGTGCCTGACCTGTGGAACTCCCTCCCAGCAGATGTCAAGGCAATAAACAACTATTTTACTTTTAAAAGACAACTGAAGGCGGCCCTGTTTAGGGAAGTTTTTAATGTCTGATGCTGTATTCTTTTTAATATTCGGTTGGAAGCAGCCCAGAGTGGCTGACGAAACCCAGTCAGATGGGCGGGGTATAAATTATTATTATTATTATTATTATTATTATTATTATTATTATACCAACCACAGTTGGTACATTCTTAGTTTATCAGCACCTTTCTTTACTCTATGTTGGGCTTTGTTTTCTCTCTTTCCCCCAAAGTTTCTCCAATTCACACTGGTGCAAAGGGCTTACTGCACACCTGGAAACCACAGAGCAGGCACTGCAAAAGTGAGGATGCACCAGTGCAGGGTGGAGACCAAAGGTGGACAAAGTACCCCAGAAGTACCACATCTCTCCCAACACCCCATACATCCTGATGCTAGCAACAGAATATCCTCTGTGAAATACTAACCAAACACCAATTTCATAGGAGTTTTCCTATGCATGAGTAAAGTACAATTTAACCTTGGAATCTTCATGGGGATAAATATATAGTTAGAAATATAACCTCTAAATACTTTGACAGATCAGCAGGACCTCCTGTGCCAATGAAGGAGAAATATCCATTAGGCATAAAGGACTTTTGTCTTGGAAGCAGAAAGCTGTAGTTCTGAGGCTCGTGCCACCTAAGATACATGATGTAATGACTGAAAATGGAGAACTGCATCGAAGGTAACAAACCATCTTCTGAAAATTAATGAGTTATTAAAGTTTCCCAGCCAGAGCTGGATGCAAATGCTCAGTACTTAGGAGGACGAGAAATGACGGCCTTGGGACTGCAGCCCGGGGACAGCAAGTCCAGGCTAGCTAGGCACTGCAGAGGATACAAATAAGTCAAAGCTGGCAAATTGGTTTCTTGCTGGCAATTATCAGGAATATGGCTGAAGGTTGGCCAGCTGCAGCGACTCAGTTTCCTTTTCACCTTTAGGGTAAGAACAAAGCAAGAAAATAAACGGATCCTGGCTCCTTCTTCTCTCCTCACCCTCCCAATGTACTCTTCTCACACACGCACATGCCTTTTACTTGGCTGCGCTTTTATAAATCACCGTACTTTATCAAACACTGTGGTTGATGCTGTGGGAGATATTGATGACCTAGTTCCCTAAATGCCCTCCCCCACACCCTGCACAGCTCTTATGAGGAAGCACAAGGAATAGTGGTGAGAGAAGGGTTGTAAATGGGCCTGCACAGGTTTGTAAAAGGTAAAGGTAAAGGGACCCCTGACCATTAAGTCCAGTCGTGGCCGACTCTGGGGTTGCGGCGCTCATCTTGCTTTACTGGCCGAGGGAGCTGACATACAGCTTCCGGGTCATGTGGCCAGCATGACTAAGCCACTTCTGGCAAACCAGAGCGTGGAAATGCTGTTTACCTTCCCGCCAGAGTGGTACCTATTTATCTACTTGCACTTTGACATGCTTTCGAACTGCTAGGTTGGCAGGAGCAGGGACCAAGCAATGGGAGCTCACGTCGCGGGGATTCAAACCGCTGACCTTCTGATCGGCAAGTCCTAGGCTCTGTGGTTTAACCCACAGCGCCACCCGTGTCCCACACAGGTTTGTAAGCCACCTCAAATATTCTAAGGGAAACGGTAGAAATGTTTTCAATAAGCAAATCCATTCCTATTGAACCCAGGTAAGAATTTATGAATAAAGCATGTATTATAAATATGCATACCCAGAGAAGTGCGCCTAGCACTTACGCTGACCATTATGTGGGATAACCAGCCTCATATAGCCAACATGCTTAAGTCTAAAGCATGAAGGGGCTAACCACAGAGTAAGCAGTCCAGCTAGCCTTAGTTCACCCTGAGAGGGACTGGGCAATCAAGCCTGTTCTTCATCCTCCAATGTACCTGAGCTCAGCATATGAAGAAGTTTGAGCTGCTTGCTCCAAACACTGACTACATGGCTCTCACAAGACACTTTAGAGTTCCTCTACCAATAATTTATGAACTTTCATCACTGTAACTAAGCCACGTTTTACTGCTTGTTCAACTTTTTCTCAATGCTGTATGGAAAGGCACAGGAATCTGGCCACTGGAGAGTTTGTAAGTAAACCATTTTTATCTTACCAAATATGTGGTCTTTTTCTATGATAGAGGAAGAGGGAAGTTTTGGAACTCACAAGGGCATATTTTAAAGGTCTAACAATCTATATTTCCACGCTTTACTTTGATGCATATTTTGTGATTTTAAATCTCTGCTGGGGTTCTGTCACCAAAGAGCACTTGCCCCAAACCTGGATGCTGGAATCCAGGAATTCTTCTTTTATATACCTATTTTTTCTTTGCCACCAACACATTAAAGCCCGGAATAGCCAAATATCTGAAAGAAAACCATCTCCCATTTCAACCCATCCAGTCTTCTAAATAGCAGTTTCAAAACTTTGGGGTAATCTTCCAACCAAGGTGTACATCACCTCTATACTCCTTTAAGAGAAAGGTAGTTGGCTTTGGATTGTAGTCTTTGCTATTTTATGTATTTTTTATACTGTGTTTACTTTGTGTTGATGTTTAATTGGTTTGAGAATATGCAATGATGTGTTTTAATATGCTGTACAGCACCCTATGAACATATTGTCAAGTATGATATAAAGATGCTTAAGTAAATAAACAGTTGCCCTGGCACCCCAGAAGGAAAAGGAAAGGACACTCTAGCCCATGGGTAGGCAAACTAAGACTGGGGGGCCTGATCCAATCGCCTTCTAAATCCGGCCTGCGTGCGGTCCGGGAATCAGCGTGTTTTTACATGAGTAGAATGTGTCCTTTTATTTAAAATGCATCTCTGGGTTATTTGTGGGGCATAGGAATTCGTTCATTCCACCCCCCAAAAAAATATAGTCTGGCCCCCCCACAAGGTGGACCGGCCCCCTGCTGAAAAAGTTTGCTGACCCCTGCTCTAGCCCCATCCATGAGCCAAAGTAACAAAAGCCACAAAGTTCTACTCAAGTAATAACATCCAATCATTTAATGTAGCAGCACCAATACTTTCGAACTCCCTGCCTATTGAAATCAGGCAGGTGCCTTCACTGTATTCTTTTCGGCATCTGCTGATGACATTTAGGCAAGCCTACCCAGATGTCTAAAAAGTTTGTACGAGTTTTAATTTAACTTTTTTATTATCCTACTGGGGTTTTAAATTAGGGTTGCGATTGCTTTGGTGATAATTTCGTTGTCTTATCTTTTTCTGTAAACTGATTTGAGGTTTTTCCCCACGATCAAGTGGTATGTAACTTTTATGAAAGAAATAATAAACAAACAAACAAACGCCAGAAAGGGAACATCAGCCTGACCTGAACCAGATCTATAATGCTTATAGCTCAGCAGTTCTTTGCAGCCTTGAGGAGCTGATCTCCATACTCTTTCTTTTCTAGGAGCTGTCTTTTTAGTCTGAAGGCTGGGCCTCTTTCTTATTCTTAATTAGTAATTGCTTTGGGAGGCTGAAAATTTTGTGATTTGTTGATATTATCTCATATGCAATGGATTGCTGAATTCTGTTTGCTTTCAGTTTATAGTCACAGCATGGCAAGGTGGCCTTTGCTGAGAGTAACAACAAAGGGATACACAGCAGGCAGATGAACAACGAAATGAAAACCGTCTGGAAAAGGAGCGATAATAACTCTCTTAAAACCAGGGTAGGTGGGTGAGAAATAGTCACAAATAGAGAATTCCTATACGGCTTTTGCGAAGAGGATCCGTTCCCAGAGGGAACTACATTTCCCAGCGTTCCTTGCGGAGGACGAGTCAAACCGGCAAATGGTCCCGAAGCTTGTCCAGTTTGCAACGAAGGTCCAGCAGGTGGCGCTGCCGTTTCTAAGTCCCGTGTTCGAAACCGTCGCCGCGCCAAGATGGCGGCGCCCATGAGGTGCAACGCTTGAGGGGAGAGAGAGAGAGGCCTAGCTTGTGTACACCGGCAGAGGCCATGAAGCGGGCGGCCCCAAATGGCCAGGCGCGCAGCAAGAGGCGAGGGCGGCAGAAGCAGAAGGCCGGGAATCTGCAGAAACTGGGGCTGGCGGTGCGGGAGTTCGTGGCGGCTGCCGGGGGACCCGAGGGCGGCCTCGGCCTCCCCTCGCCTCCTCTGCAGGAGCCACCGGCGTCGAGCAGCCGCAAGAACCGCCGGGAGCTGCGTCGAGAGAAGCGCAGGTTGAAACGGAGCCGGCGGCGGCGTCTCCTGAACGGCGGTGAGGCGGTGAAAAATCCCCGGCCTCCTCCTTCGGCAGCGCCAGCTGGGAAGAAAGAGGAGAAGGAGAAGAAGCAGGTTTCCTTGCCGGCCCCGGAGCCAGAGAAGCGCCTTCTCCCCGCCGCCGCCGCCGAGGCCCCTCGAAAGAAACCCGGGAAGGCCTCTCCTTCGGCCTCGGCCCTGGCGCGCAAGCGAGCCCTGCTGGCGGCCAACGAGGAGGAGGAGCGGGAGATCCGGCGGCTGGAGAGGCAGCTGGGGCTCGGCAAGCGTCGGAAGAAGAAGCAGCAGCAGCAGCCGCTGGAAGGGCTGGCGGAGGAGGCGGCGGCCCTGCCTCCCAGCTTCGCCAGGGACGGGCTGGGTTACGTGCTGGGAGCCCTGGAGACAGGGACCCCCTTCTCCGGCCTGTACGAGAGCAGCGAGGGGGAAGGAGAGGAAGAAGGAAAGGGGCCGGAGGAAGAGGGGTCTGAGGAAGAGGGGCTGAGGGGAGATGAGGAGGTGGGCCTGGAAGAAGAGGCCGAGGAAGATTTCGCTCTGGAAGAAGACCCAAGAAGCTCAGGAGAATCCAGTGGTGAAGGAGAAAGCGAGAATGAAGAGGAAGAAAGCAGATCCCCTGGCCTAAGGAGCCCAGAGTCTGGAGCCAAGGAACCCACCTCTCCTGAAGAACAGGATGAGGTCCGTTTAAAAAAAAAAATTGGAGGATGTTTAGGGGGTCTGTGAGATAGACTTAGTGTGTGAGATACTTAGTGAGATAGACATGGGTCATAGCTCAGTAGTAGTACATCTGCTTTACAATTAGAAGGTACTTGGTTAACTTCCGCACATCCCCAGATCAGGCTGAAAGAAACTCCTGGAGGCCTGCTGCAAGTCAGCATGAGCTATATGGACCAACGTTCAGACTTGGTACCAGGCAGCTCTGTGTGTTTCCTAAGACATACCTTTGACAAGTGCACAGCAACAAACTTTCTCCTTGGAGAGCAGCAGCTAATCTGAGCTTCCCAATGAGCATACCTTTCAAACGTCTATAAGTTAGCAAACCTACATTTGTCACAGTCACCATTTACATTTTTAGGTACAGATGCCAATGTTAAAATGTGAATATTTTTACCATGTTGGCTATCGCATTGTCACAGAGCATTTGTTTCCCGCCTTTCGCAATATCAGTGTGCCAAACGTTCGCATAGGTGGCTTACATTATAGTAAAATATACAGAACAGGTTCCTTTTCATTCATAAATCACATGAGATCTCAATTTTCAACCATTTTCTCAAAAATTAAATTATTTAATTAATACATTGTCTTTTTTTTTTCCTTTTCCTTCTTAAAGAATCCTTGCCAATATGCTACAAAGTATATTCCCCCACATATGCGAAGGTCTGAAGAGACAATAGATGCCCCAAAAAGGGAAGAATTGGAAAGGCTGAGGAAAACACTGAAGGGCCTAATTAACAGGTAGTATTTTAATTTTTTTATTTTATTAAATGTCTCTAGCACCCTTCATCCGAGGATCACAAGGCGGTTTACAATGTAAAAATGCAGAAATATATAACATAGTAACAAACAAAAACAATACCCCCAAAATACAGTTTAAAAGGCCAGAGATTGTTTTATTAGCCAAAGACCAGTGAGAAAAGGAATGTTTTTGCTTGGTGCCTAAAGGTATGTAATGAAGGCAAGCCTTCTTGGGGAGAGTATTCCACAAATGGAGAGCCACCTCAGAAAAGGCCTGTTGCCACCCTCTGGACCTCAAGACAGGAAGAAGTATCTCAGATGATGATTTACAGGACAGTTTGTATAGGGAGTATTGAAATTTTCCTTACAGCCAAGACAGCACATTTAAGGACTTCTAACTTGCCCTACTCATGAGTCTGACCAAACTACGGGAGGCAGTGGAAGACAGGAGTGCCTGGCGTCCTCTGGTCCATGGGGTCACGAAGAGTCGGACACGACTAAACAACAACAAACTTGCCCTACTGCAATTTTTATTTGTTGCTCCAAGTATTATTGGCATCACTTTGTGTTCAGTTAGGGGAAGAAAGGCAGGAAATAAAGCAAACAAATTGAGCTGAATGGCCTATCAGTTTTTCTCAAATGGACAAAAGTGTTTATATAAATATATACTTTAAACACCCATGAACACACATTTTGAAATACATTTCATGTGACTGGACGTTAAAATGAAACAGAACATTAAAGCTAACGTTAACTTTATTTCCATATGATTTATTTTCCGCTAGGTTGAGTGAACCAAATTTAGCCTCTATAAGTGGACAGTTGGAGGAGCTCTACATGGTGAACAGTAGAAAAGATATGAATGAAACGTTGACAGATATCCTTCTCAGTGCTTGCGTTACAGAATCAGCAATGCCTTCCAGGCTGGTGATGGAACATGTGCTTTTAGTTAGCATCCTTCATCGGACAGTGGGAATTGAGGTAATTTTTCTGAATCTTCCCCATTGTTGAGTAGCACAGTAATAAAGGAACTTTCCTACTACGCCTTTCCTTTTGGTTCTACTAATAATTTCATGACACTTTGGTCATTTAGATTTTATGATACTTGGTTTTTTAAAAAAACAATGTCATACCAGGTGCTGTTAAGCAGAATGGTAGAATATAAATATAGTCGTTATTTCAGAAAATATTCATTAAGTAGTACTTCACACCTTTGTGATGAAAAAGCCAAGGATCTTTGCATGTTGACCACAGAGAAAAGCAACTTCTGCAAATTTCACTCTGTGTATTCTGTAGTAATGATTTGTTTGCCATAGTTCTATTAAAACTAATAGGAGGTTTGACACTGGTTTCTAGGAGCCTGGAGTGCATGTTCTGATTTCCAGCCATTTCTGAAAAAGGGCATTTGTTATGAAGGACCACAGTTAATCACATACTTGTACTTCTCTCTCTGGCCTTACTTTTTACAATTCTGCCCACCTCCCCACAAAAAACTCACACATGTACACACACACCTGCAACTTCAGGATTATGCTTCATGCATCTGATGGACTAAAGTCAAGGAAAGCTTATGTCAAGGAAACAAATTTGTTGGTCTTTAAGGTGCCCCAAGGCTCTTTGTTGTTTTTGCTGCACAATAGTAGTATAGCTACTTACTGAAAAGGGGGCATTTGTTTAAACAAAGGAGCACTTCAGTTTTTCTGTAATCAACCAATACCCATAATTAATTGAATAAAATTTGTAGAAAGAGGGGCTCATTAGTATTTGAGTTTCACATCTTTTCCCTCAAGAAGGCAAACTTGAAATGACCTCAAGGTCACTTACCATAATAAAACAATAAGGTGGCGTTGGCAGTCTGAAAGTCAGCACAGTGGCGTGGCTAAAATGTTGGACTAGGGATGGTGAGACCTGACAGGGCATAGGGGTGTGTGACTTGCTCCTTTACATTAAAGGTAAAGGACCCCTGACAGTTAAGTCCAGTCGCGAACGACTCTAGGGTTGTGGCACTCATCTCGCTTTACTGGCCAAGGGAGCCGACGTTTGTCCACAGACAGTTTTTTCCAGGTCATGTGGCCAGCATGACTAAGCTGCTTCTGTTGAAACCAGAGCAGCGCACAGAAATGCCATTTACCTTCCTGCCGGGACAGTACCTCTTTATCTACTTGCACTTTGACGTGCTTTCGAACTGCTAGGTTGGCAGGAGCTGGGACCAAACAACAGGAGCTCACCCCATCGTGGGGATTCGAACCGCCGACCTTCCGATAGGCAAGCCCAAGGCTCAGTGGTTTACACCACATTATCAGTGTGTGAATTTTCTGCAGTCACAAGTTCATTTTAATAACTGACTTGCCTTGTATACAGGAGCATCACCATCCACTGCAATCTAAGGCTGTTTTCAAAAGTGGTGCTTAAGTGGACTTCTGTGCTTCTCTATGAATGACATTGAACATCTACACTTGTTCTTTCTTAATCACCTTGATACAGCTCATTAGCATTTGCAAGGGTGTCCTGCCAAACTAAAATTCATTCAGATATCACTTGTGAAATAATCTTGAGTGAAAGGACTTGTCTGTGTAATGCAGCCTAATGCAGTGATTAGTAATCTTATGCTAGCACAGCAGCTAATATTATATATTATTATATATGACTTTTAAATTGCTGGTCAGCAAATTTTAGGACCACAACATTAGTTATACATTGTTGGCTTTCTGTTTTAAAGTGTTTAAATGGTCAGCAGCTCATGGATCATGTTTGTGTGTTAAATGTTCCAGGTTGGTGCTCACTTTTTGGAAACTGTGGTGCGGCAATTTGATGAAGTCTACAAAAGTGAAGCTGAAGGGAAAGAATGCGAGAACCTCCTTATCTTAATTGCTCATTTGTATAACTTTTATGTAGTGCATTCACTGCTGATCTTCGACATCTTAAAGAAGCTAGGTAGCACTTTTTCTGAAAAGGATATTGAACTAATTCTGCTGCTGCTGAAAAATGTAGGCTTTTCCTTGAGGAAAGATGATGCTTTGGCCCTAAAAGAACTTATCACGGAGGCCCAGAAAAAAGCAAACGCAGTAGGAAAGCAATTCCAGGACCAGTCAAGGGTATGAATGCCTTTTTAAAGTACCTTTTTGGGGTAACTTTTTCATCAAAATGTGGTATCCCATGCTTTCTGGGATGGAAAGAATCTGTCAGCGGAACAAGGGGCGAGGCATTTTTTGACAATTTTTTCTTCATCCTCTAGAGTAGATTTGGGGGACACTGTGGGGGAAGGAATCCCTAAAAATCCTCTTCAACCAGGCCTTTGGCTGATTAACATGTGATACTCTTTTAAATGTGTTGTAGGATGGGGGGTTGTTGATTTGGTTTTTGTTCTTACATTTGTTATGTATTTTGTGTTTTTTTATGTTGTGAACTGCGCCGAGATCTGCAGATGAAGGGCAGTATACAAATTTAATAAATAATAGAAATAATCACCTCCCTCTCCCTGTTCCATCAGCAGACAGAAAGCACTGAATACCATCCTAAAACAGTTTGGTAGGAACTTTAGTATCCCTATATTTTCCCAACACCACTTGCACTATGCTATGATGTGTTGGGCATTCCCTGGAAAACTTACAAACATTTGATTTTGTTTGACGCATTTAAAAATTGGTCTTAGGGGTGGGTATAAAACTTCAGTTCTAGTCCATTTTTTTATGCTACAGTTCTTTGCCGTTTTAGGTACTGGAACAATAATGCAGACTTACTGTCTTTCTCTAAAGGTTTGTTTCATGTTGGAGACCATGCTGGCACTAAAAAACAATGACATGAGAAAAATCCCTGGGTATGATCCAGAGCCGGTTGAGAAACTAAGAAAGCTGCAGAGGACACTGGTAAACTCCATGAAAAACCATATTGCTATGTTTCTTTCATACACTGTGAACAGACTTGAGTATTAGCAAAAGCTGCTACTAACATCCTGGGCCTTAGGAGCTCCTTATATAGAAGAGTTGACTGCAACAAGGTTTGGTTTTCAGTATGAGCATTGGCTGCTGAGTTTACCAGTGGTTCAAAAAGAGGAACACTTTCAGTTCAAGTAAACCACAGCCTGGGTTTCCATCATATCTGCTACCAGATGTAACTGGAGGACATCTAATTAGGCTGACAACTAGGTATAAAACTCTTTATTTTAAAAAATCTTCTGACATAGCATTCTTCCTTTCTGTAAGACTCATAATAGCAGTTCTGGAAAAGAAGCTCAACTTCGAGTGTCATTGGAATCTCTCCTAACTGCTGAACAAGTTGGTCGGTGGTGGATTGTTGGGTCGTCATGGAGCGGAGCGCCAATGATTGACAGCACCAGCAACCAAATGCAACCAATACTAACTGTAGGAAAGGTAAGTGTGATCCTCCCTATTAACGTCATTCTGGAAGTGTGTCTTAAGACAATCTCCCAAAGAATAGTCTTGCTCTAGGGATTCTTAATGAGCATAAATGAAGGTATTTGTGGTGGTTGTGCTTAGAAATGTGCTTATTCCTTTCAAAATCTGTTCAAAGGTACAGACATACATCATTTTATTTGTATGCCGCATTTCCATAGTTAAAATCAAGCTCAAGGGGGCTTCATGGCAGAAAACTGGTGCGAGCAAGTTCCAGATCAAATCCTTGTTGCTGCTTTTTCTTCAAAATAATAATAATACAGTGGTACCGTGGTTTATGAACTTAATCCGTTCCAGAAGTCCGTTCTTAAACCAAAGCATTCTTAAATCAAGGCGTGCTTTCCCATAGCAGCGGGGGACTCAATTTACAAACTGAACACACTCAACAGGAAACAGCACATGTTCTGCTTCCAAGTAAAAGTTCACAAACCAAAACACCTACTTCCATGTTTGCAGTGTTCTTAATCCAAGTTGCTCATAAACTAAGCTGTTCTTAAACCAAGGTACCACTGTACCCATTTTAATCGCACTTTTCAAAAAGTATGAATAACATACTATGTAGTTTGGCCCTGAGGATTACATTTTGAAAATACCTGGGTTTCCTCACTTCCTGAGAAAGTTATGTAGCTTGAAAGCCAAACATTTGACTTTGCTCATATTCCTGATGAAGATGTTACCCGACTGTTTGAAATTATGAAATTCATCCGCGATATTAAGAGTTTGTGAAATGTTAAGTTTTCAACCCTTTCCCCTACTCAGGTGAGTTCGAAGATTCTGGAGCTTGCTCGTAAGCAAAGAATGAACACAGATATTAGGAGGAATATATTTTGTATCTTGATGACTAGCGAAGACTTTTTGGATGCCTTTGAAAAACTTTTAAAGTAAGTAGTCACCAGGGTAGGATGATTTCAGAAACTTAAGCCACTCTTTGGATGTGAAATACCTTTCTTGTGAATAAGAACTGACAAAGCCTTAGCTGGAGCAAGTGTACATTCTGCCTGGTGCAAACCCGAAACAATTAGAAACATTCTTACAATGCATTGCATGTTTATTCAGAAGTAAAATATTCAATGGAGCTTACTTTCAAGTAATTGTGCATAGGATTGAAACCTAAGATACAATCCCATTTTTGAAAAAGAGCTTGCTTCATAGAGGGAGAAAATAATTTTTTTGCACCTTTTTGTGAATTTAGGCCTGTTAACTGAAATCAGATGGCCGGTCCTGATGGTTTGCTTAAAGTGTTGCCTGATGGATGTAAAAAAAAGCACCTTAACGTTCCTTTAATGGCTGTGGATGTTCTCCTGAATGGGCAATCTATCTGCAGGGGGTGGGATCTCAAGCTAGTGCTCTGCAGGGTGAAGGGGACAGCATGAAAGTGAGAGGCTGAATTTGAAGAGGAGAGTTTTAGCTTGGGTTAGCTAAACTGGAGCAGCCTTGTGTGTGGCTGCGCTGACAGCTTTCTGAGGTCTGATGGAGCAGCAGCAGACGTGCTGTCTGCCTGTTTCCCATAAGCTATTTTTGTAAACTTTAAATTAAATGATTTTTTAAAAATCACAAATTTCTCTCATCCAAAGGCAGGTGCCCACACTTGCTGGGTCAAGGATTCTTTATCCTTAATCAAGAAAGGCTACCAGATGCCTCTAGCAGGCTCCACTTGCTCAGCAGTTTGAATATAAATAAATAAATTTCTAAGTACATATCTGTGCAAGAGAGGGACCTGTCCCTCAAGCCTTGAAGAAGACTCAAGTACTTGATAGTGAGGACAAATAGGTTTCTCGGTAAGACAAGCTGATTCTTGGACCCTGTCAAAATGAAATGAAACCCTATTATGCCGCTCCTGGAAACTTTTGCCATGCGCAAAGCAGAGAGTGCATTAACACTGGGGTCTGGAATATGAGCTGTTATGACAAACTGGGACCTAGTATAAATCGAACCAACATGGAAAGAACAAGACTCCCAAGGAATGTGAGGCAATCCTGAAAGTGAGCCTGGAGGTTGCATGGCAGGAGATGAGGGTCTTGAGTAATCATCAGCTGCAATGGGTCAAGGTTGACCCTGAAATCCAGCTTCTTAGCTCTTAGTCGTGGGTGGGATGACTGAGCAGCTGAGGAACTGTCTGCTCAGGAGCCTGTCGGCAGTGATGAGAATAAAAAAGCTGGAAGAAACTTTTAGTAAAGCTGCTGGGGAAAAGCTCTGCCAGAGTTGAGCAAGAGAAAATGCTCTCCACACTGGAAGTGAGTGGTTTGCAGAGAAACTAGCTAGAGCCTTCAGCCATGAGCAAGAACAACCTCTTCTTGAGCCTCTCTTCTCTGTGCCATGAAAGTTTAAGTGGGTTGGAGAAGGCCCTTAAATTTGCACACCCCAGAGGCAACACCATACAGTGGGAATAATTCAGAAGCCTGAAACTCAGGGAAGTAAACAAATGGAGAAGCTTAGTAAAGGTAAAGGGACCCCTGACCATTGGGTCCAGTCGTGACCGACTCTGGGGTTGCGGCGCTCATCTTGCTTCATTGGCCGAGGGAGCCGGCGTACAGCTTCCGGGTCATGTGGCCAGCATGACTAAGCCACTTCTGGCGAACCAGAGCAGCTCACAGAAACACCATTTACCTTCCCGCCGGAGCAGTACCTATTTATCTACTTGCACTTTGACGTGCTTTCAAACTGCTAGGTTGGCAGGAGCAGGGACCGAGCAACGGCAGCTCACCCCATCGTGGGGATTCGAACCGCCGGCCTTCTGATCGGCAAGTCCTAGGCTCTGTGGTTTAACCCACAGCGCCACCCGCGTCCCTCATGGAGAAGCTTATCTGCCTCTATTAGAGGTCCTGTCCACTACCACTGGGGGCATGGGAGGAGAGGAAGATTTCATGGCAGCTCCCTGGAGTGAAGTCAGTCTTAGCGGAATATGCTCCTAGATAAAGACATATTGTAATGGAACAGGATCAGTGCATGTGTAGTAAAAAGCGGAAGGGGTAACAAATCTGCAGGAGATTCATGAGCCTGGCACATTACAATTCCTGCTGAACAACTCAGGGGTTTCTTGGCAAAGAACTATTCGCTGCAAGACTGTTTGACATTCACATGTTCCTTATGGAAGCATGCTTAGAAATGGCTTACCAAGCAGACGTAAAAGCTACAGACATTGAATGCTATGGAGCCCTTGGGCAAGGTGTGTTGTGTCAGTAGAGTGGTGTGTTTGGAATCAGCTGTTTTAGTATCTTCCCTACTTCAGGGATTTGGGGTGCCTAGGTAGTAATGCCTTACAAATATTAGCTGCCAAGCTGCTTGTTCGATTCGGGTGTGGAGGCAGGTATCACATTTTGGTGATTGAATGCACTGACAAATTAGGTAAATAGCAAGAGTAAACCTCACCCTGCTTTTGTTGCTGAAATGCCATTCATCTCAGAAGTCTTCCTAATGTAATGGAGGACAGAGGAGGAACGGCTTATGATTAAGGATATTCTGATTCATGTTCTGAGAAACTGGGAGCCAAACGAGTGCCTGTGTAGGAATGCTCTGGGGGCCTTGTTACTGGTTGGAATTTGTTTTTTGTCTAGAGAAGTAAATATAATTGATGCGGAAATATTCTGTTATGGAAATAACTAATCATAGTTCACTTGTATGTTTTTGGCTACTTGCTACTCCAGTTCTCTGTTCCCAAGAGAACCTTCAGCCAGGAGCTATTTAATGGTAGCTGAACCACTTTTGAGAGAGGGGATGGTATGACTTTGTCCATCTATCTGATTACTGTAAATGGTCTGTCGTTATGGCTTTCCCTAAAGTGTCCCCTGATGGGATCTGACAAAAGAGCCTTAATGTTCCTATAATGGCTATGAATGTTCTCTTGAATGGGCAATCTACCTGCAGGGGGTGGGGTCCAAAACCAGGACTCCGCAGGGTGTATACATATGAGGGAGGGTGGGAGAGAAAAGGTCATTTGAATTTAGAGATGAGACCTGCGATTTTTAGCTAGAGTTGTCTAAATTGAGATAAAGCCTCAGAAGGAGGTACTCTCTGGGATCTGATGCAACATTTGCAGGTTTGCTGCCCGGTGGACTGCCTGTTACTATCCAATATGCTTTGTTTGTATATTAACTAAAACATATACTATAAGGCTACAACACAAGTCTCCAGTGCTCTTTCATATGTAATGTTGCTCCCAGAGTTAATCACTGCTCAAGAAAGCGGCAAGAATCCTCCATTTGAACAAGTAGGCAGCAACATTATTTAAGATTCTGATGCAAGAGTGGACCCTACGTCTAAAAAGATGAGAAACAGTTGCCACTCAGAAAAGCAAAAGATCTCTTTAAAGTGTGTGTAAGAGAGAGGCTGCTTTTTGCCTTAAATGAGGCAAATGGCACACTTACCAAGTGAAGGAATCCTTTTCTGTTTAAACCCAATCAGAGAAAGCCCAAACAAGGAAGCACTTGAAAGAGTGAATATGGAAGCTCAATCAAGTTTCTTAGTTGGAGAGTGCCTAGTAGGAACACATTTCTATGCACCCTTCTTGTTGTGTGCTTGTGAGGTTTCTCGAAAATTTAAGTCCCATTAACCAACTCAGCTGCAGCTGGCTTAAATTAAACTCCAATTTCTTTTACAAAAACATTATTACTGTAAGCAAGCATATATGCACAAATGTAACGGGAGGTCCCACTATCTAAAATTCAGCTATGAATCATTGTTGTGTATGAAATGTGAGGTACTCACTTCATGGATTTCAGTGGGCCTTCAGCTGCATCTTCAGGTTAAAGGCCACCTGTCATAAACATTTGAACAATGGTACTAAATCTGCAGAATAAATATATGAGAACCTTAGTGTTTTGGCATCCGCATATCTCCCTATGTTCATTCTCAGCTCTTGGGTCAGGAATTGCCAATATTTTTTACTCTGTGGGCACATCTGCAAACTGAAGAAACTTGTGGGCACCACATACACACCTCAACCAAGCACAATTTATTATATTGGCTACAAAAGAATGCTTCTTTCAAGTATAATTTCAGTGGGGCAGTGGTGTGACAGGGAGGGTCTCATGTGACAGGGAGAGCACCATTGGTGACCCTTGCCGCTAGCTACAGAAATTAGTTGCATTACTTCTGATTCTCTTGACTAATAACATCTTGTGGGGCGATCAGTGGCATTGTTTGCTACAAATTGCACATTATTGTTCCATTGACTTCACTGAAAAGTGGCTTGGTGTAAAATGAAGCATTTTATCTATACCTTAGCAAAATCAGGCCATCCCAGCCATGTAGTTCATCTCCGACTGGGTAACTATAGATGAAAGCCTCATTTTGAAAGGATGCAAATTTTGTGCTTGACACTCTCTGCATTATAATATTAAGCATTTTTCATTTTAATTGGCTTTAGTGCTGCCAAGCATTTGACAGCTCTGGAATCTAAATCAGACTTATTTGACAGAACAGGTACAGCACAAGTTAAGACTATTCCTTGCCAACAGCGTCTTAATCCTCTGCGTGGTCCAGCTCTGTGAGTAAGGAGGCCGTTCAATCCTGCCAGACTTTCTGCTGAGACAGCCAGTGGGAACTCATTAATGCTGATTATATTTTTGTAATTAGGTTGGTTGAAATCCCCAACACCCTCAATTAGGAATTGGAAAAACTTGAGAGGGTAGTTTTTCCTTCGGTCACCCACTAGCAATTTCTTAATTCAGAATAGCTTGGCCTCCCCTTGGCCTGGTGCTCTCTTGATGCTTTGCACTACAGCTCTCATCAGCCCCAGGAAGGACAGCTGGTAGTAGATAACCCAGATTTTTGTAACCCAGAGGCCAAACATAGAATTGTAGAGTTGCTAGGGACCCTGAGCATCATCCAGTCTAAGCCCCTGCAATGCAGGAATTTGCAATTGTCCGATCAAACCTGCAACCTTGTTGTTAGCAGCACCACACTCTAACCAACTGAGCTATCTACATATTGTCATACTGAGAGATTCCCTCTCCCAATTCTTTTGAACACCACTGCATTCAAAGATGGATCGTAGTCCTACCTACCCTTCCTATCAAGACTTTTCTCTTTATAAAAAAATTAGTAATCGTTCCACAACTGTATATTATGCAAAGCATGCAGTTAAGAATGCTTTCTTCTCCAGAAACCCATGGTATGGATCTTGTTGTCCATATATTATTGAAATCATTATGCAGAATACACTGCAATGAAGAAACTGGTTTGGCATAAACTATTTAGATCCTTTTTTTTTTTAACTTGATGCGTAATGGATTGAGTTCGAGTCAAGAATGAATTGGGTGGCAGTAACTCTTCCATTTTATGGTAGTTCAGCCTAAACATTCAGGAAATGGAATTTACATAATGGCAATTGATGTTTTAGGCTTAGGCTGAAAGATCAGCAGGAGAGAGAGATTGTCCATGTCCTCATAGACTGTTGCCTGCAAGAGAAGACTTATAACCCCTTCTATGCATATTTGTCTGCCAAGTTTTGCGAATATGAAAAGCGATTCCAGGTAAGCTAAGAACTTGTCTTTCTCTTTACTGGTTGCACCTTTTAAATTTCTGGGAATGAAAGTGGTGTTATCAAATGGTAATATATGGTAGTTAAATACATGACTGCTAAATGTAATAGCTGCATTTATGTAGAAAATACGTTTCGGGTAGGGGGGGGAGCCATAACCCTTTCATATGTAAAGCCAAACAACAGCATTGTCTCAGAAAGGAACCACAGCTTAGTGATGGATTGTATGGAAAATATTTCAGAGTCATTCCCTGCCATATCCATTTAAATGATTTGGAGCACATGAAAGTAGACACACAGAGAGAGAGAGAGAAAGAGAGAGCGCAAATACACATTCTGGGACCAGTGTGCTCCAGTGTTTAAATTAATCCTCAATTCTGTATTTAGTAAGGGACAGTCTCTCATGACAAGGGCACCATAAGGCAGGAACCTGTAGCTGGAGGCATAAGAGATGCTGTCTGCCCTTTCACACAAATTACCCTCCCTCTGTCCTCTTTCTCCTTGAAGCAACTCCAAGGGAAGGAATGACTGATGATGCAAGCGTCAGGGAGAGGACAAATCCATTCTCTAGCAAAGAATGGTCTGCATGATCTCTCCTCCTTTCCAAGGAGGCCAGACCAGAAGAAAAAGCAAAAAAAAAAGGGGGGGAAGATAAAAAGGGAAGATCTCTCTCCTGTACCCTACTCTCTTCCACTTCTGATCCTCCAACTGGTTTACGTCTAAACGTTTCCCTCTGGAGTCAGAGGCTATCACCATTTGGCCTGTCAGAATGTACTGCACATAACTTACAATGCTGCAGCAAGTAATTAACTGCACAAAGTGATCCTGCCTTATATTGATGGTTTGGGGCAGGAGGTCAGCTGGTGAAGCTAGCACCGTATCCTATGACCTGCCATAATACCATGGGGGGAAGGTGGGTAGCTTTGATTGCAGTGGAGGAGAATGAACTGTGCCAACCCCTGAGCTGGGATAGGGCTGTGCCAGTTTCTGGGACATGTCCAGGAAATAAAGGGGCTTAGATTTGGTGCCCCTGTGCCCACCCCAGCGTGCCCCACTTTACCTCTAAGCATTCTGAAGGCAGGGCAGCGTCCTCCAGTGATATAAATGTCAACCTGCTAGTGTTACCTTCCTCTCTGCCAGCAGAGCAGCACCATAGATTGCCTTTTGAGGCCCCTCAGCCAGCTTACCTGTGAGAGTAGGATTGTTAATAAACAGCCTTTTCTCTTTTTTTTTTTTTTTAAACCAGATGACATTCCAGTTCAGTATGTGGGATAAAATAAGAGATTTGGGGAACCTGTCCACTACTGCTATATCAAATTTAGTTAATCTCTTGGCTCATCTGTTGAAGACTAAGTCTCTGTCCCTCACTGTTTTCAAGGTAAGCAAAACTCTTGTTGTTGTTGTTGTTGTTTTGAAAAACTTTACTTTTAGATCTCCTGATAGACTCATGCATAATGTGCATGTTCTTTGGTATGTAACGTCACCTAACAAGCAAGGCAAAGCAAATGGTTATTCTATGGGGGGAAATCTAGGTTTGCAACAGTATCCATGCAGGGGTACCCAGGGTGATGCTGTTTGACCACATCTGCCATCAGCCCCAACCAGCATGGCCAGTGGTTGGAAATGATGGGAACTGTAGTTTGACAAAAGCTGGCAAGTGCCCTCTTAGCTGCCCTTGAGGGTGTTAAGATTTAAGCAAGTTGCTGTTGATCTCATGTTTCATGAAATCTTTCCCACTTCTTTGTTAATCGGCCAGTATGTGCAATAAGCAGATGTCTTTTTGCATTGAATTCACAATTAAGCTTTAGATCCCATTGTATATTCAAACAGGTGAGCTGAGCTCTCTGGAATTATTAATGACTGTTCTTTTGGTAATAGTCTACAGGTGATTTATTTAATACTAATAACATTAGCATTTTCATGACAGCTTAATAGCTTGAGAGTGTCTTAAGAGTTTTTGACATTTCATTGCTTTTTAACTAGGTAATTGAATTCAGTGAATTAGACAAGCCAAAAGTCCACTTCTTACGACAAGTACTGTCTGCACTGTTCTTGAAAACAGATCCAGAAGAACTAAACCACATCTTTGGAAAGTAAGTCATCCCAGGGGTTCCAGGTAGAATTTGTCAAACCATCATTGTAATGATAAAAGGGCTTCTGTCTCAGGTAGTGTTAGAAACTGAGATATGAAAGCTGGGAGCTAAATGGCACCTTATACCTAGGATATGAGCGCAACAACAGAATGTCTAGGTGCACTTTTTAAAAACAAGAATACAAAGCTGAAAGTGAATGAACTGCAGCTAAAATATGTTGATTTTTCACATGGTCTAGTCCTTCCCCTGCCCGGGTCTCTTCAGTCTTCAAAGAGTAGCTGGAAGTGGGGAAGCAGAAAAAGGTCCTCCTTTCCTTCCACTCTGCAGTTTTAATCTGAAATCTTAGGTGCAGTCCTGCTCCCAGAGCTCAGAAAACTGCTTGCGCTAATGAAATTCCCTGTCGCAAAATGCACCTTGAACAATGGGAGTTTCAAACACTGGTCTCAGGTAAAGGTAAAGGGACCCCTCACCATTAGGTCCAGTTGTGGCCGACCCTGGGGTTGTGGCGCTCATCTCGCTTTATTGGTTGAGGGAGCTGGCGTACAGCTTCCGGGTCATGTGGCCAACATGACTAAGCCGCTTCTGGCGAACCAGAGCAGCGCACGGAAACGCCGTTTACCTTCCCACCGGAGCGGTACCTATTTATCTACTTGCACTTTGACGTGCTTTCGAACTGCTAGGTTGGCAGGAGCAGAGACCGAACAACGGGAGCTCACCCCGTCGCAGGGATTCGAACCGCCAACCTTCTGATCAGCAAGTCCTAGGCTCTGTGGTTTAACCCACAGCGCCACCCGCATCCCCTGGCCTCAGGTAGAATTTGTCAAACCATCACCTTACTGTCAAAAAGGGGTTCTGTCTTTTCTCCCCATTACTGTAGTTTAACTGGAACTAGAAGCTGGAACATTTCAGTTCTTCTGCAGAGCCCTAATGTGGTTTTCCTTATGGTGTCACCAGCCTAGCCATACAATGCTCCAGAGTATTTTGTAAGCCTCTATCCTGCTTGCCTGGCTGTACCCTATTAGTGATGTAACATCGCCCTAAAGAAAACACTGGGTTGGTTAACTTGCAGTTCTTTGTGTTTTTCCAGGTTGGCTGACAACCCAAAATTGGGAATGCTGCATGAAGGCTTGAAGCTTTTCCTCACCCATTTCTTGCTGAAGAATAATCAAGCTCACAAAAATGTTGAAGAAGCCACTTTGCTAAAAGAGAGAATTGAACTAGTGACTAGGACTTTGAAAGCAAAAGAATCTAAATTAAAATTATAGCGTTAGGCCTAATAATTTTTATCTATGGGAAATGCAGACTTAATGGGGGCAGGGGAATAACTTGAATTGGGTGGTCTTTCATAAACAGCAGACCTCATGTTCTGATCAGTTCCTTCACAATAATGTGGAGCTGGATTAGGTTTGATATTCAAACTGGCTAGTATTTATTATCCTTCTGTTAAAAGACAAAACACAGTCACTAGTGAAGACTTAATAATCTATACAGTGTATTTTTGAAAATAAATGTTTTGTACCCTTGCATTTTAATGTAGCGTTTGAACTTCTTTTTAAAAATTCAACAGCGTATGCGAGTGGTATTGCCACATCATGTTTATAGTGCTAATTTAAATTTTTCATTCTCATGCCAGTCTGTTGTCACTCCCCACTCCCCCAATTCATTCTACTAAAATTTTGGTAGTTAATGCAAACAGTACATTGAATGTCTCTCTGACAGTCCATTCACTATTGTTATTGAAATCAGTGCAGAAACTAACATTGTTACTCCATGGTACCCACTCCAAATACTTTGGAAGTCCCCCACTTGAAAGTTCCTTTCTATGTAGTCAAACACTTTTTATACGTACAAAAAACCCCATTACTTTACCCATTACTTTCCCTTACTGAATTCCATAGAAGCCAAATGTAAGATGAGGGCAAATGTCTGCTGTCACCTTATGGATTACATTTGCTTAAACTGAAATTTTTGCTAGGGCGTCACAGTCCTCAGGTCCATTTGCTGCATTTTCTTGTGCCTGTGCTTACACAGAAGCTGATCAAGAGTAGCTTCTTAAGGACAAAAATCAAAATGGTAGCCACACTTTCCTCATGCAGCAAAAGCAACAGAAACTTGTGCCTCCTTAAATACTATGAAATTCGTTGTGTGTGCAAAACAAAAGCTTTTTGCTGCAGTAGCTTTATTAGTTTTAAAGTGCCACTAATTATTGATTTTGGTTACTGTCCACAAATCTATGACCTCATCAAATCAAGCTGAGTAAAATAATAATAAGCAAGCCAAGTGGATTTTTTACTTTACAGCAGGGGTTCTTAACCTGTGGTCCATGGATCTCTAGGGGTCCATATACCAGAGGCAAAAAAAATGACTTTTCCATTGGGATTAACTAAATTGTATACAGAATTTTATGTGCATATGCATTTTTCTGGGGTCCATAGCTTTCATCAGATTCTCAAAAGGGGTTTGTGACCCAAAAAGAACCAATGCCTTACAATGTCACTTAAGTTTCACGAGTCTGTATCTTGCCTGACCTTCCAAACACAGGATAAGAAAAGGCAATACATCGGTATTGTATTTGTGAAAGAATCGCTCAACCAGTTCATTTGGTAAATTGAATGTCCATGTAACAAAAATTAGGTATTCGCTTGTCTTGTGTATACTATGAAACAAGTGTGTAGAACTTCTAACCCCCTAGATACCATTCAACTGCAACTCATCTCTTTCAATGAGGCATGCCAAAGTACGGTAATCTTGGAATACAATAAAAACCATCTACAAAACAACTGCATATAAAAACAATTAAAACAATTGCATATATAAAACAATTTCAAATAAATTCAGATACTGACAAGATAAGATTCGGTACTTAGAAGTCTTGTTGAAGGAAAGGTCTTGTTAAAGAAGAAAGTATTCAGCAGGCACCAAAAATAAAAGATGGAATAAAATACAGAATTGCAGTATGACTTCAGTTTTATATTTCATATTGTGGGAGAGAGAGAAGGGTTGTTTTGGGTTGTAACTGTCATCCCTGACCATCAGCCCTGCTGCCTGGGACCCGTGGGACTTGTTCTCCAACAACATATGGAGAACATCAGGTTGGCTCTCCCTATGGATAAGAATTCCCTGTGGCCAAGGGAAATGTGGCTTCAAATTCCTGTATGTTTGTAAAGCTTGCTATGTGTCCCTGGACCCATCAGTCTATCCTATCTCAGAGACTTATTGTAAGAATAATGAGGAACTAACTACTTCCAGAGTTGAGTCCATATGCACTACACATTTAAAGCAGTATCATACCATCCTAAATAGCTATGGCTTCTCCCAAATGATCCTGGGAACTGTATTATGTCAAGGGTGCCGAACGTTTTCAGTACACCCTTATTCCCATCTCAGAGCTCCAATTCTCAGAGTGGTTTAACAGCCAATCTCTCTTCCCAGGGTATTTATTGTGGGGTAGCCAGCCTCACATAACCAACATGCTTAAGTCTAATTAATGCATGAAGGGGTTAAAACCATAAAGTAAGCAGTCCTGCCAGGCTTAGCTCACCTTGGGAGGGACTAGGTAGTCAAGCCTTTATTCACCCTCCCATCTAAAAGAGAAGCTCAAGGTGTGAGGAGGACTTGACTGGCTGCTGCAACTTAAGACTGCATGGCTCTTACAAGACACTCTTCAGTTCCTATACCAGGGGTCGGCAACCTACAGCCCGGGGGCCAGATACGGCCCCCCCAGGCTCATAAATCTGGCCCGCAAACCCTGCCACCCACTTGGTCAGTCCCCGCACACTGCAAACGCCTCGCCGCGTGGTGACTGACTTCCATGACGCTGGCACAGCTTCTGTGTGGGCAGCAACACTGGCACAGCTTTGGATTGGCTGCAGGAAGTTTCTGCAGCCAATCTGAAGCGCCGACGCCTCTGGGCAGGTGCCACTGCTAGCATGGCTTCAGATTGGCTGCAGGAAGTTCCTGCCGCCAATCCGAAGCCTCGCTGCCTGCGCGCTGAGGTAAACCCAGCGCGGCCATGGACAGGGAGGCCGGCGGGCGGGTGGCAGGTCTGGGCCATGCCATGGGCATCGTGACGGGCACGTCGTGGGGCTTCAGCTGGAGCTTGGCACGCCTGCTGGCCCTGCACCTGGCACCCAGCTCAGAGCTGCTGCTGCTGGCCCGCTCAGCGGCTGCGCTGGAGCAGCTGGAGGGTGAGCTACACTCCACCTGCCCAGCGTGGGGCCAGCAGGCACAGCCTGCCTGCCGACCTGGCCTCCGACGACAGGCCGCAGCAGTACACACCGCCTGGGAGCTCCGTGGGGACTGGCTGATGGAGCAGCTGCTGCTTGTCAACAATGCCAGTGAGTGGGCAGCACCAAGACACATTCCTGAGCATGTGCAGAGTGCATTCCTCCAGGTCCTGAGACAGCTGCGGCACCAGCTTGCAGGGTATTTATATTTTTCAAAACATAGTCCAGCCCCCCACAAGGTCTGACGGACAGTGGACCAGCCCTCTGATGAAAAAGTTTGCTGACCCCTGTCCTTTACCAATAATTTAGGAACTTTCACCACTGTAACTAAGGCCCAGTGATGGCCAAACTTGGCTCTCCTGCTGTTTTGGGACTACAACTCCCATCATCCCTAGCTAACAGGACCAGTGCTCAGGGATGATGGGAATTGTTGTCCCAAAACAGCTGGAGGGCCAAGTTTGGCCATCACTGAACTAAGCCAAGTTTTACTGCCTCAGCAACTTTTTCTGAATCCTGCATGGGAAGGCACATGAATCTGACCATTGGAGAGTTTGTAAGTAAACCATTTTTAACTTACCCAAAGTGTGGTCTTTTTTTCTATGCTAGGGGAAGGGGGTAACTTTGGAAGGAACTCACAAGGGCATATTTTAAAGGTCTATCATCCTATATTCCCTTGCTTTACTTTGTTACATATTCTATATCTATCTATCTATCTATCTATCTATCTATCTATCTCTATCTATCTATCTATCTATCTATCTATCTATCTATCTATCATCTATCTATCTATCATCTATCTATCTATCTGTCTATTAGGTTTATATCATCATAAAATCTCAGGGTGGTTCACAGAATAAAATATTTTGTGATTTTAAATCTGCTGGGGTTTCCTCACCAAAGAGTACTTGCCCCAAACTGGATCTTGGCATCCAGGAATTATCCTTCCTATATTTTATTTTTTACTTGCACCAACACTTATTATTGCCTTTGACCGTGGAGGCAGATCATAGCTATTGTGGCTAGTAGCCATTGGTAGCATTATCTTCCATGAAATAAAAGGTTCCAAATGTTTGCTTTCGGATGTTGTGCCACCATGCATTCATTTGCCTTTATACCTTGATACCTTGGAGGACACAAGTGAACGGAGACTCAGGCTGAAGCACAACAGTTGTCCTCCTCTGTGAAACTAACCTTTCGGGAAGCAAGGGCCATATTTTATGCTACCCATTTTAATTCAAATAATAAGTGTCCCTCAGATATTTGGAAAACCCTGGTCCAGGATGTAAGCATAATGTTTGATTAAAGACATAGAGCAGCTGTCAGTTGTACATTCCACACAGAGCTATTGTCGTGGATTGTAGCTTTTTTTTTAAAGTCGGGGCAATGAGATGTTAAACCCACTATTCTGGTTTTTGGATCAGCGTTAACAGGAGAACACAAAGAAGTCTGTTTTGTAGCTTAAGAGAAAGTGTTACGTGGATAAATCACACACAATCCCCTTTGGCAGAGCTTTAACGCTGAAGCACCTGAAAAGAGCTGAGTTTCTGCAGAACTCTTTAGCATTATATTTTTTTCCATTGTGCTGCATGAAGTGGGAGGATGAGTTTGATATCAGCACTTCTCCACAAATGTGCAAGTGCGTCGGCGTGACAGCCAGGCTTTCCCTTGGCAACTTCATATTGTCCTCGAAACATCTGGAATCGTTTGATTTGCATTGTTCAAGAGAACTTGATCTCTTAAACTGTCAGAGGCTGGGGGTCCAAACAGTGCCAATCAAATGCATATTGTCAGGGAAGATGCATGTGCTAAGTTTAACGCTAACATTCCCTATACCTCAATCCCACACTGGATTCCAGAATGTATATAGTTCTTTCCGCAAAAGCCCTCATTCGTGACATGGTATCTGAATGGACTTTGCCACAACTCTGCAACTGCTTTCTGTATAGAAATAAAGCTGAGGGCTGAAAGCATTTATTATTTTTACAAAATGCCAAAAGTGCTTAGTAACGGAAGGCTACAATTAGATAACTCGCTAATAGGTACATTAAAAAAACCGGGATGCACACAGCAGAAATGATAGCCTCTGGCTTAGATGGGGGAACCCCTGGCCTTCTCAGCATTGTTGGACTATAATTCCCATCATCCCTGGTCATTGACCAACGCTGGTGAGAGTTCTGGAGGGGCACAGATCCCACACCACCAGACTTGGTTCATCTTTGATCTGATCCTGCAAAGTTCTTCTTTATGTTCTTAAGTCCAAAATAGCAGAGGTCACTAGAGCCCAGCATGAATAATGGCTGCACT